ATTTCTATGGCCGCCATTTTGAATTTGGCAGCCATTTTGAATTTTCACTGCCATCTATAGATATATCTCATCAATGTAAATTGACATAGTATGGAAGTAGAAAAACATAAATTATTACAAAGAAAGATGAGAAAGAAATGTAAAATAATGAGCAATATGTATTTTTGTTATGTCAAATTCAAAAATGGCTGCCACAAATCCAAGATGGCGTCCAAAAAAATGTAAACCATATTTTTTTATAATTTTATGATGTACTAAATGCAAAAAAAAATGATTTGCAAGATTCTACCCAAATTTTTCATGGGATTTGTTATTGTGACACAAGGGTATGCACTAATAAGCTCGCGTCGTTCACACGTGATACTGGTATGCAGTGAATGAGTGAATAAGTACAGCATAAAAGTATAAATAATGTATACTAACCAATTAAAATTTGTCCTGATGTTGAAAGTCTTACTTGTGTTACCTGCTACAGATGCACTTTTTCATACCGTTTCAGTTACTTTTTGTATAAGTCAATCGGTCTTTCACTATCCAAGACATGTTGGTTCCTCTGTTGACCTATATTTAAAATCGTGTTACTCGTATGCATATATATATATATATACACAATTTACCTTTGATTTGTAAGGGGTCAATTACATTTTCCCGTTATCACAACAATTCAACCAATGTGTAATGGTAATTTGTGTCTCAATGGCGGAATATGTATTGAGCTCGACGACCTTTATTACTGTGAGTGTGTGGATGGTTATGATGGAGCATACTGTGAACTGGGTGAGTTTTATTTATTATATAAGTTGTTGACAATGTTTTGTTTCGCACTCCTCTGATAAAAATCGGTTTATAGAGCTTATCTTATAAGTTCACAGTTACCAAAAGTTGGCATAGTTTGATTTCAGACGCTAAACTTGTGCGAAGTATAGAAGTAAACAAATATTAGTTGGGCCCAGGGTAACGATAATAGATAAATATACTAATAATTAGTAATGATTCTGTAATTTGTACGATATACCACTGTGCTGTCGGTTTTCTTGCAGACGGGAATATGTGTGAAACTAACCCTTGTCAAAATGGTGGGTTTTGTGAAGATGGTAATAACTCCTATATGTGTAACTGTCCCCCTGGATTTGTTGGCAATAACTGTGAAACAGGTAATAGTAATATGTAAATCAAATACATCCCAAATACATTACTAGCATTTGCATAATTATTACAACGCAGTTTAGATTCAACAGGAACGTTACATCACACCCAGCTCTCGGTTTATTCGTACAGAAGTGAACAATTGTGAATAAAGACCCTGTTACAAAAGGGACATTTGTCGTGATAGGATAAAAAACATATATATATGACTGCTCCTTTTTGTGAAACAGATATGGGAGTGACATCTCCAAAACGCCCTGTGTATAACATAAAGTTTCTGAAAGACGTTTCTTTTTTCATATACGAAATAAGGTAATGCAAAGTATAAATATAATATACAAATTTCACTAGATATGATCGCCATTAAGTTAATACATTCTTTTTAATAACACGACATGTTTTAATACATGGATAATACGTTTTGTTGATCAATAAATTCAACGTGTGATTAAGTGTACTTATGCCACTTTTCGTTTAATAATTTCTGCCAAGACGAGAATGACTGTGACCCAAGTCCTTGTCGGAATGATGGCACTTGTAATGATGGCGTCAATACATACACGTGTCAATGTAGTGAAGGATTCACAGGGCGTGATTGTGAAATAGGTATGTCATTATCTTTTAAACCAAATACTAGACGACTTGGTCGGACGATCATATTTATGACCATTAGTGTTTCATCATATAATTCCAGTTGCAAAACGTTATGTGGCATGATATTGAATTGATATTGATATACAATGCGCCACCCGCAGCGAATTACCTCATATACAACCTAGAATAACTTCATTCGAATGAATGGAAACCTAACCCCTGGCGAAATGTGAAGATGTTATCAACAAATATAGGTATGACCGCTCACCTATATTTGTGCAAAATGATTGTGTCACGATATGCAATGTATTATAATCAAGTGTTAGACGTACATTTATTACTACACGATTTAATATAATACCTCACTATTGCCTCTACGCTACTTCTATATCTTATCGAACCCCGTAATAATTATATGTATTTTTTGTTTATTTTTGAAGATGTCGATCACTGTGATCCAAATCCTTGTCAGAATGGTGGCGACTGCAACAATGGCATTACAACTTACACGTGTCAATGTAGCGAAGGATTCGCAGGGCAAGAGTGTCAAATAGGTATGTTATTTACAACAAATGCTAGAAGATTATTGATCCGGTTTAGATGGACAATCAATTTGACTACTCGTGCCGACTTGTCATATGTCATATAACTTACAAAACCTTGTGTGTCATAGAAGCGAATTGATGATGATATGTAATGCGCAATGTTGGTGATTGTATTTATAAAAAAACAGCTATTTACAGCTCGGTGCAATATGAAGAAAACAACATTTATTCTATTCCAATTGTGCAAATTTGAATCAGGGTACATTATATAATAACATCACAAATCCGGGAACATAAACTGTAGACACATAACTAATGATTATGGGCTCACCTCTATGTTGAGTTTTAACAGCAAATAAATCAAATGTTTTTGTATGTATAACAATATCGCAATGAATGACACGTTCATTCATTCAATACAGGCATGTGTCCACCCGAATGGTTATATTTCCAGTCATCGTGCTACTGGTTCAGTCCAAGTGATGTGTTGATGAAATGGGCCGAAGCAATTGAACATTGTAATACCATGAACGCCTACTTAGCAGTTCCGAATACGCCTGCTGAGAACATGTACTTATACGAACAATGTTATCCTAGAAGAGTTTATTTAAATGCGCATGGTTTAGCTATGTGGTTACTTGGCTGTACTGACATAGAGGTATTGTACATTACATTTGCTTCATTCATTGATTGCATTTTACGAATACAACATATAATTCAATAGTGTATCCGTCGTGAATCACAATTCAGAATACTGGCAAAATTTTATTTTATTAACCTATAATGACGGTAAATATGCGCTCTATTTAATAGAATGAAGGCACATGGGTATGTCTTGATCATACAATTCTCTCATATGATGCGTGGAATTACGGTGAACCTAGTAATAGCCAGGGTGACGAGGATTGTCTATCAATGGATATTCGTGATGGAGCCCCTCCAGCTGTTTGGAATGATATCACATCCACTATATGGGCAGCCCAATTTATTTGTGAAAAGGCACAAGGTAATATACATATGTGTTCCTACATCTCGTTCGAGGTTGGTTCCATGTTTTCACCGAAGTGCATTATTATACATTTACCAGCCAAGAAGTGATTATTATACGACTGACTACAACCAAAACTTTATCGAAATGGTGGATAATATGACGCTAGAAACACGTGACGCTGTACCTAACCATCATTGAACTTATGAACAAATATTGTCTAATAGGATGTTTTTTTTTTATAATTACAGCTTTCTGATCATTGGACGTTTTGATTTGCATTATCAAGAACACAATTCTCAAGATAAACTTTGCCAGAGAAGTATCAATTCCTATTTGTTATTTCACCTTCTTTGGTCTCACTTTCTAATAATGCATTGTTCAGTCATCATTGCCACGTGACTCGTCGAGAAACTGGTTACAAACTAATCGATCGATTTATAGGATCTGGAATACATATCTGATTAGAGTGTTTTACCTCATAACTTTGATTAGTATGTTGTGTGCTTACGTTATTATTTGTAGTAGACTAGTATTTTGTGTAACGTTTTGATTGTGTTATTTGCTCATATCACTGATGTACTTATACGTATATGATTTTTTAAAACATTGACAAAAATATAATCTCATGAATGATCCAAACATAATAATTATATAGTATTTTTTATTTGTAGGAAAACATTTACGCGAGTTTAATTAATTTGATATTGCAGATCAGTATGTTGATTTCCTGATTATTTAATATATCCCTCGAATACTCAAAAACTATTACGCAAAAATACGTAAAATACATAAAAGATCGCCGTTCATTGACGCATAGTATAAACCTGACATAATTTCACACTTACAATAGGCATTGTCGATGAATTTGCTGTTGTAGACTGAGGACAATATGACTAACCGCAATTGTATCACCTATAATACACGCTATAATTAAACCAATGGCATGGGTGAGATATCCACCTTTGATTTCACTTGCATAACGAATAGATAGCAAGTGTAAGCTAATCAACGAAACATATTCCATATATAATTCTCGTCAGTTTACTATAATGCGATCAAGGAATGTGTGTCTTTTTAGAAAACTCATCTGGTATTTTCGAAACTAATTGTTGGACATTATTGGACTTATAATATATAATATATTCAAAACTATTCATAAACAAATATATTATGAAACCACACAAAAAACATATTGAGGTACTGGCATATTGTGGGATTCGTCGGCCAAAGTGTCTAGATGTGCGCATCGACCAATCATATTACTGGACTAATTACTACACTTGCGCATCGACCAATCATATTACTGGACTAATTACTACACTGAAAATGATTACACTGAGCAGTCAAGATGTATGATGTAGATGAATTTACCATTTCTGTTTTTTAACACTGGAATGCGTAATCGGATATGTGTGCCGCATATCCTGCTATCAGCAAAATGTAAATGAATGTAATAATAGTGATGGTAGAAAGATATGATTTAACAAATACTCTACCGTCTAGACAAATGAATACAAATAAATTACTAAAACATGATTATTGTCATTGTCCCATTATTACGCTGAAATTCAAGGGAAATTGTTATAGTGGTCATTCACGATGTTTAATTAAGGTTTAAAAGTTGCATAAATTTGAGAGTTGTACAACGATTTGATAAATACAAATTGAACTATGATAACAATTGCTGGTAATATTCTAGTTTTGTAACAGTGTGGAATGTAGAAACAATAAGACAAACGCAATTTTACCATTTAAATATATTTCATTACAAACCCACAAACGGTACTACAAATGTTCTTTGGTAATACTGTATAGTAATATTTGTATTCACTATAAAAGCTACTACATATCACGTGCTCAGCCAGGAATATTCACTATTTGTGTGCCTGTCTGTTGTACATTTTCTTGTTGCTTATAAAGATAACAGCTATGTTTATGACATGACATACTATTAAAAGCCGACATTTATGTACCCTGGGATGGGCGGAGTTTAGTATTCTAGTTTGACTGATTATTCAACGACAGCAACTGTAAATCGTTCCTTGTATGCAGATAGTCAACGTCTGCGTTGATGTGTATAGTTACTGAGCTGAGCTGTGTAAAGTAAAATAAACAATTCTTGTGAGATTCCGAATTCAAGTCGGGTATATGCACAGTTTCATCTAGAGCGACATGGTCTAAGCTGTAATGTTCACATACATAAACCACGTTGTGTAGAGTAAATATGTTCGGCTTTAGTTTGTTCTACTTTAATTCTAAACCTGATCTCTGTACCCAGATTGTTTTCCATTCTGCCTTGTAAAGTTTTCTTCAAGATTACTTTCTACCTCAGACAACAAAGATTACTGTCTGATTATTACATGTATATAAGCACAATTCCTCTATGCCCTGTCAGGAAACGGCTATTGTTTAAGGTGTGAAAGAGCCTCAGTGCTCGGACAGCCTGGGCATGGTTTCCGCGAAGCATATCCTTTTGATAACCGAGTATTCGAAAGTCAAAAGATAATATTAAAAACAGTTTTGGCAGAAGACTACTAGAGCTATGTTGTCTGTTCACTTTTTAAAAAAAAGTTGGGAAAGATATGTGTGTGGATTATGTGATAGCATCTAGTTCTTTATTTCAATATATTGTTGATTTTGGTGTTGGAGAAGAAAGTATTTCTGACCATTTCCCGTTAATATGTAAATTAGAGATAAATGTTGGGTGAAAATGTTTAGCAATTTTGTAATAGGTATGTATTTTATAAATTAGATAAAGAAAAGTCTGATATTTTTATTAGAAATTTATTGTCCAATAAGGGAAGGGAAAGGTCACAAACAGTCATAAACTCCAGGACAGGTGACATAAACGATATAATTAAGAAATATTATGATTTGTTAAATTGGGCAGCTGCCGATTTTAAAAAATGTAATAAAGGGGTGGGATAGAGATCCAATAATCAACCCAGTTGGTTTAAAAGACAGTGTGGGATAGCAAAGCAAAATATGTATAAAGCATTACGTCAATTCAGAAATCGTCCCATTTTAGAAAATCTTACCCGTTATAAAAATTCCATATCTCTGTTTAAGGGGCTTTGTAGGGAGAGAAAAAATAATTATAACAGAATAGTATATACATTTTGCAGATAATAATGATATCTGGAAACGGGTAAAACGCTTTGCTGGAGTCAACACACAGAGACCAAATATTACACCTTCTGAGTGGGTTAACCACTTTCAAATGCTTCACAACCCAATATTTGACAACTCTGTTTTTGACAATACTGTGAAAGAATACCTGGAAAATTTGGATTTTACTTTTCAAGATCCAATATTAGGTGAACTAAATGGGACTATATCAGAAGACGAAATTATGAAAGCATTAATTGAATTGAAACCTGGGAAATCACCAGGACCAGATGGTATTTCAATTAATGAAACAGGTGTTCAAAGAATGCCCTTATTCCAGTTTTGAAATTTACTTTTAATGCAATATTTGACGCAGGTATTTTTCCAGAGGAATGGGCTAAAGGATTTATCGTTCCATTACATAAAAAATGTAATATAAATGACCCCCAAAATTACAGAGGAATCACGTTACTAAACTCCTTAAGTAAAATTTGTACGTACATTTTGATTAAAACGCTGGTAAAATGGGCAGACTCTATTGGGTGTGTCACAGAGTCCCAAGCAGGTTTTAGAAAGGTTTATTCTACCGTTGACAATATTTTTACTCTTCATGTTATTGTACAGAAATATTGAAGTAAATCAAAAGGACGGTTCTGCTGCGTGTTTGTTGACTTCAGCAAGGCCTTTGATTCAGTTAATCACAACTTACTGATGTATAGACTTTGCATTGATGGCGGTGGTAGGAAAATTTTAAAATCTATGTATAAAGGAGTCAAATCATGTATGAAGTGCCAGTATGGTATTACAAATTATTTCTCATGTAATGCTGGCATAGGACAAGGGTGTATGCTTAGCCTCTCTTTGTTCTCACTTTTTATAAATGAACTAAATAGTATGCGGGACAATTCAGGGTATCGGGGAATACAAATTACACAAGAGTTGATTAATTTATTCTTGCTCTTGTATGCTGATGATGTTAGTGACTCCCCTATTGGACTGCATAGATTTTTGGCAATATTAGACTCTTGGAAAATGGCAGTAAATATGGCTAAAACACAAATTATAGTTTTTAGACGGGGGATACTTAAAAAGGAGTGAAAATGGTTTCGAAATGGAAATCCTGTAAATACCGTTGGGTACTATAAATATTTGGTTTTACTTATTTCAAGTAGGAAATCAATAACAACGCTTACACAACAAGCGCGAAAGGTCATGTACACGATTTTTCGTATGATAAGAACAACTGGGAGCTTGTCTCACCAAGATTATTTTAAATTATTTGATAGTATGGTTCTGCCTGTTTTAAGCTATGGGGCTGAAATATGGGGGCATAGTAAATACCAGGTGATGGAAAGAGTACAGCTAAAATATTGTAAAAACATTTTTGGGGTAAAATCATCAACACCCGATGAAGTAGTTTTGGGAGAATGTGGCAGGTTTCCAATTTTCTTGCATACATATAAGAAATGTCTCAAATATTTTTTTTAACTACTAAAAATGTAAAAATAGAGTCACTAGACAAGCATATGATTTGGCTATTTCACTTGATAATAATGATAGGGAATCTTGGGCAACAAAAGTAAAATATCTATTATCTGTGCATGGGTTCGGGAAGGTATGGCTATGGCTGGGACCAGGAGACTTTGATCCATGTTTACACCTATTTATGATCAGAGCATCTGATATATTTGAGCAAGAATGGTGGGAGGATGTTGTCTCAAAAGATAAGCTGCGGACATATCGAAATATCAAAACTTCATCCACCCAGAAGTATATTTGTATTGTCTAGAAAACTGATAAATTAAAAAGGGCTCTTGCTTGTATCAGGTGCTCTAGTCATAGGCTAGAAATAGAACAGGGTAGATTTGTGGGACTGGATGTAAAACAGAGAATATGTAAAATTTGTGAATCCCTTGAAATAGAGGATGAATTCCACTTCATTTTAAAATGCCCTATGTATGAAAACATTGGTAACAAATTATTACCCTCATGGTCATATACTTATCCAACATTGGATTTTATTCCATTATGGCAAATAAATCTGACCAAATAATTACAAAACTGGCAATGTCTGTACATAAAGCACAATTTCTGAGACAAGAATGTATTAACATGAGGTGACTTTTGACCTCAGGAAAGTATTTGTTATATATTTATTTTTCCATTTAAATTAAGAAATGGGCTAGTGGCCTTTAAGAACTAAATAAAGATTTATAGATGATCGTAAATCTACATTGAAAATCGTCATAGAAATTCACATTCTATTAAAACGATCGATTCATTATTCCTTGCATATTCTAGTTTTTACAACCGCAAACAGACCATATATTTTAATGATTTGGGTGCAAGACAAGAAAATATTAAATAGCTTATTTGCATCTTGATGAAATTTACAAAATCTAAGATATAAAATGTAGTAAAACTTATGTATGCATGTGTATAAAGAGGATAAACATACCAAGGTAAACTAT